ATATTACTCAAATAGCTAGAAACAGAGAAATAGTAGAGCCAAGCTAATTGATGGGGTTAGATATTTGAAATAGCAGGGCCAAGCTAACTGACCCAAGACAATATAACAATGAGTAACACATGCAAACATGAATTGTTCTTCATGCCAAATAAGCACATTAAGATAAGTAGAACAGACTTAATACTTGGAAAAATACCAAATTGTTAGGAAGGATAGTTCTTAAGCCCTAGATGTGCTTCATGGAAGCAATATTATTTACTGGCCACGAATTATGGCAGAAATTGTTATTTCCAATAAAATGCATTAAACTGGAAATGAAGAACTAGTTGGAGTTTATTACATTAATTAAATCTTTGTTCTCGACTAAAAAGTATCCAGCGGCAAAATCTCGAATTCATTTTGATATCGAAATTCATGGGTTAAAGCTTGAATTTGAAATAAACGTTTTTTCACTCTTTGAAATACCCAGAGTAAAATACATCTTTGCTCATTTCCCTTCTGAACAATACCCTTTTAGAACCAATCAATAAAGACACAAAGCTAGATAGTAAACCCCCAAAACAGTGACTCCTCTACAAACCCTCTAAATTTCTTTGAGAAAAAGAAAGAACAAACTTATGGGTATTTCCTGAAAACAAGAAAGAAGCAGGGAACAAATGGATTGGAAAAGAATCAAGAAAGTGAAAGACGTAATTGAATGCAAACGCAATATTCAGGGGATGTATTACTCACAGAGGGAAAGACTGAAGATTTTGAGAAACAAAGAGGAGAGAAGAAAAAGAAGAATTGAAGATGCTACCATGGAGGGTTTGATTCTAAGGAAACATAAAGAAATTGAAGAAATTTGAGGTTTTATAATGGGGAAGTTGCAGAGGAAGAAATTGAGGAGGTTCGAAGCTTTATGATGATGTGGCACGGGTGGGTTCCACCATGCACGCTTGGAAAAAAATAATTAAAAAATATTCCAAACGTCTAAGTGTCTCCCTTAAAATGGAGGGAGGGACGACAGTGAGGTATTTTTGAATAGTAGAGGGAGCATATGTCAAGTTAAATTAAATTAGAGGGCGGACATAAGGTAAAATTGATAGTAAAATGTTTTTTTTTTTTTTTTTATTTGAGTACAAATTTTAAATTATTATTATTTTTTATAATGAAAGGACAATAATTGACACAAACCCTACGGCTGTCTGTGGTTGTGCTATCAATTTTATTGGTCGTCCGTGAACAAGCATTATTGTGGACGTCAGGACCAGTACTGGACGAGTATTGAAGATAAGATGTACAATCGCTAGGCATAGGGTCCCAGACATTGGCAAGTTCATAAAAATTCTGTAAGATTGTGGTTACTGGCTATTATGAATTTGATACTGTATCGTTATAATTAATATTATTTTATATA